CCCATTAAAATTGCATTTGCGTTAAGTTAGGTTCTGTACTACAACGATCTGCAAGATATTTTGTTCCACTTTCTTGCCGATTATATATTTTTTCTCTCTTTTACATCGATTAAGTTTTGTAAGAAAAAATATTAATTACAAATAAAGCAAAGGCTTTTTTAACATAATAAAACAAGACACTGGAGATTATGTGGATTATTCTCTGTAAACGCTAATCCTTGCCACCCGATTCGGCAACTAAATATTTGCAAAACGATTTAGTCATTATATATATAGTAGGTAAAGACGCCATTCTTCAAAAAGCTTTTATCGTCAAGTCCCTTTTTTAGGTGTTGTTGAACTGATATTGGAGGACAACGCCAAAATAAATGGATTTTAATAAGCATTTCAGAAAATAGAGAAATTAGTTCAAGTAGAGAATTTTATGTTCTTTTTGTTATTTCCGTGTAGAAATAAAAGAGAGCACGGTGCTACATTAAATGACAATTTAATTACATGATTGCTAGAAGAACCCACTCTGCTGCAAAACAATCTTTATTACTTATGTCACAAAAAAAAAAATTTTTTTTTAAAGCGTTACGCTTTGTAAGTCAGAGAAATTCTGTAGAATGAAAATTTCTTCGACTTAGAGCGTGAGTTTTAGAACACTAACCTGTACCACAAGAAAAACTGAATGTGAAAAATATGGTTTATTTAAATAGTATTTTAAAATTATACTGCAGGTTTTGATAATTTGCATTATCCGGCAATAATTGTGGCATTTAAACTAAGCTATTTTTTTATTTAAATGAAATTTTGATAGTGGATTAGGATGTTTACATCATGTGTAAAAATGAGACTCTTTCTTTTTTCTTTTTAACTATTTAAGTTTCAAATTCAGTAGCAAAATTACTTCTGTAAGTTTTTGATACAAACAAATTTTAGTATAGCACAAAAATATGGTCAATTAAATCGGTTCAGCAATTATAGATAAAATACAAACTAACATTAAATTTTTTAATATTTCAAAAATTTACTCCAATGCTGCATAGCCTGGGCTCATAAAAATTTGCAACAACTGAGAATGAGGTAGTGATTTTGATAATTTTCTCTTAGGTGGGAAAATATCTCCAAATTGACAATTTTTAAGAAACTTTTAAAATGTTTAAGTTATTTGTCAGTTGTAAAGCCCAGATAATTCTTCACAGCAGGATGATATATAATGTTTAAAAATTAGACCATTGCTTCGAGTGTAAGGCACTTAAACTGTGGCTTTTTTATTTTCCTTGGTGACAGAGCTTCAAAAAACAACGTTAATTTTAATTTTAATATTCACATTAAAAAAATATTTCCCGACGACCGTACGAATTGGTAGCTAGCTAAGCCCTTCTGTTTCCGAAAGGTTTTTAGGAAAAATATATTTCTCATTTTATTCTCTTAATGTATTTAGAAAAATAAATTAAAAAATAAATTAAAAAAGAATTGCATTATTTAAATTCAAAATTATTGAAGAAAAAAAAAGGAAAACAATGCAAGGAATACGACCACAGAAGAGACTTTGCAAGAAATAAGAAACTACCTATAGGGCTATTTGATACTTAATATGAACTATGAAAACCTTGAAAATTTGTGGTTTGGATATAACGGTCCAAAAGAGTTAAAAACTAGGCCACATAGGAAACTCGTCAAGTACAGAACAATAAAAGGTAAACTACACTGTCAAAATGAAATAGGTTTCTCCAAATCATTCTGTCATACTCAATAATTCCCCTTCCTTCTCGATGGCAGTTCTTATATCATTTTATGAATGGGGGCATTCTCCCTGTGTTCACGAGGGGTAGCCGAAAGTCTCACAAGAAACTAGACCGGTCGCGTGCGCTGATTTCCGATTCCCACACCTCCTCTCCTCCTGTCTGCCACTAAAAAATAAGGTAAAAAAATATATATGTGGTGCGATAGCCAGATGTTTGCAGTAGGCGGAAGTATTATAGCACCCCCTCCCTGCTCTTGATCTTCAGAAAACGGGGGTAAAGCAGGTACTCCCTGTTCCCTTCCCCACCGGATGTCTTAATGGAATAAATTTGAATACGAAATTAAAAGTTTTAACATTTCATAGAGATTTTAGTAAATATAATCATTCAACTTTTTGTAAAAATCTTAATTTATACATTGTTTTAAAGTTCGAACAAGTTGAACCATATCATGGACCTTAAATTGGCACAAGTAGAACATATTCTGACGAAAATAATAATAATTATTATTATTACGGATTTGATACAAGTTGAACGGAAATACAGTTGAATTAAACACCTGGTTGAGGTTGCGCAACAAGTTTAAACGATATTATCGAGATGAATTAATGCGTATAATAATAAAAAATCGGTAACAAATTCTGGATCAAATTATGGTATAAAGAACCGGAGTTTTGGATGCATCATCAGTAAAATCCATTTTTAGAGTAAAATATTGTTCCGTTAAGTTTACAGTAATATTTATTTAACTAGAGTGATTCAGTGAATTTACGGTAAATATTGCTGTAAAACTTAACGCTATATAGGATTATTTTCCCCGTTTTATGTTCCTGTAAAAAAATATTTTACAGCAAAAAATACCGGCATCCTGGGTGACTGTAATTTTTTACTACAGTGCATTTTAAGGCAAATTTGCTTAAACCCTGAGAAAAAAAGTACGGTCAAAACTACCAGATAAAATTTACCGTGCTTCTAGAAACACCAAAAGGCTTGTAGCTTTGGTAATAATTTTGATAAAATTAACAATAAAACATTGTTTTCTAATGTGTGATAAAATTTAGTAAATGTAGTAAAATTCGACAATTTTCTAATAATACTTCAGAGCATGGCATAAAAACCATTATTTTCGGTAAAATTTACTATTCAGTTATGTATTTTTTACTAAATGTGTGGTAATAAGAGCTATAATTTTGAAAAACAGAATTTCTGGTAAATCGTGACCATATAAACGGAAAAATTACCAAATCAATAACTTAAATACATGTACTATAAGATACTCTTTCGGTAGAACTTTCATTTACCCTGAACTTTTTGTCAGGGCATGTATATTTTAGTTATGAAACATTATTAAACTAGAAATTATTAAAAGCTGCAGTATTTTATGAGGAGTACAAAGCAATTTCTTCAAAAAAGCTTCCCTTTTATAAACATTATATTTAAAAAACAATATTCATGTATGAATTGATATATTAATTGCCATAATTGCTATAATTTATCGATATACATTTTGAAGTAGTACTGTTAATTATTTGAACAACAAGATTGCGTTCTTCATTAAAAATAGCCTTCGAATTCTGACATTTGTATATAAATTTTAAATATGAAACAATATGATTCGTTTATGACGTAATATATTCATTATGTTATGATTCATTAATTATTAGCGGAGGACATATTATGTAAAGAAGTTAGTTTGTAAAATTTTAATTGCGAAAAAATAATTATAGTAAATGTTTTGATAATATAATAAAAGTTTTAATAATTATAATGAATTTTTAATGAAATAGTAAATGATATAATGTTTTAAAGCATTAAAAATATACAAGATTTTTTTCACTTAACGATGACATTTCATACACTTAATTGTTAAATAATAGCAATATACGAAAAGAATTAGATAATTTCTAACATTAGGATGAATAAACAAATTTATTTAAATTAAACATAGTGTTTTTCATTGATGGAGTCAAATACCACATAGAAATTAAAATCATTCTTTTAATTTTTGAAATCATGGTGCTCTTTGATGTATTTATTAATATAATATATTTTTTATTTCATTATTCACCTTTACACCTACCTAGTTTGATATAGGCGTTACAAATAAATTTGTTCCATTTGAAGAACAAAATAAATTTTATTGTTTCAGAATTTGAATTAAAGTGTTTTGTGAGTCCATATTCATCATCTTGTATTTAACTGTCATCTCCTCGTTTTTTCTGTAATCATAAAGTACAAGCCGAAAAGGTGAGGGCAAATTATATAACGGTTTTTTAATGTGAAAAGTAAGATGTTCAATATCATGCGCAAATGAGCGTTTTAAAAAATCTCAATTAGATATCACAGTATAATACCATATCCCAAAAATATCTAGAAAAAAAGAAGAAGAAAAAACTAAGCTTAAAGAGGATGGTAAAAAGTACTTCATGCTTAAATGCGTTTTTTTTCTTTTTTAAGTTTAAAAATTAAAAAAGAAATAAAACTTATAATGAAGACTTATATAATGAAAACTTATAATGAACACCTATGAAGAAATTTAAAATGACTTCAATGTGCATTTAATTTTTTTTTAATCTACCAATAATTTATTTTTATTCTCAGGTAAACTTAATACAAGATTTATAAAATGATACGCAGGACAAACCTGAAACAAAATAATATAATAACTCATTTAAATTTTTCTGTGATGATACTGATGAAATTGTTCCTCATTAGTTGAAAAGTAGAAGGGAAAAAAATTATTTCAAGTTTTGATAAATAAATTTATAAAATAATAATAAAGAAATAATAAGAAATTTAAATTTCAAAAATGTTAAAAAAAATTTTCAACTAATAACAAATCGTATTGAAGCCAAAGTAAAGCAAGAATATTTTTATTCAAAATAAATTTAAAAATTTTCAAATTTCCTATAGTGGATTTGTTAAGATTTTTTGTATACTTATTAAGTGATTTAACAGCTATTAATTTTTTTAAAAAAATCTCAAGAAAGTTTCAAAAACGTATTACAGATCCTTCATGAAAAATATTTTTATTTGCAATATTTTTATTTATAATTTAAAAGGACTTTAGCAGCATTATAAAAGTTTTTTTTTCTTTTGAAGAATAACTTTTAAACCAGATATGTGGATATTTTAATAAAAAAAAACCTAATTTAAATATTGAATGAAAAAAAACAAACATTAAGTGAGATAAAAATTACAGCAATACATAGCAAAACGAGACAAGATAATTGAGGAATTCATTTGTGGCAACTAAAAGTATTAACTTACCTGATTTTGTCCAAAACATCAATACGACAATGAACACTTTAACTGTCAAGCACATGTTTCTTAAAAAAATCCCTTTATAATCACTTTCCATGATGATTAAAAGAAAACTTATGATTTTTTGTCACCAAAATCCAGAATGTTTTTGATAAATCGCTTATATATTATCTTCATATAAGTCTCATCACATGAAATTTTCTTTCAGCATAATTAGTAAATAAATCCCAATTCAATCGTAAAAATCAAAGAAATAAATTTTTTTCAGGCGAAAAATAGCTTGTAGTGATATTTTGCGTCTTGACGGAAAAATATTTTGTTTTTCTTCATAAAAAATTTATCGTCTGATTTAGGTAAAAATAATTAAAACGATTTTTTTCTTCCGTTTAATTAAGGAACAGTATAAAATGTATTGTAAAAAAAATTTTTTTTTAGTTGTTAAAAGTAAAGTAAATAATACACAACTACGAACAGTAGTAGAAGGTTGTGTTAAATTTTCATCTTCATCCCATCCGCAACTTGGGGTAAAGATGAATGAATGAAATCTCGCGTGGAAAAGCTCGCCGGTTTCAACGATAGTGACGTATACGAGGTCACATGTTCTTCCCGAAAGATGAGTAAGGTACAGCGCATGCTCAGTAGTACTTCGTCTGGGATGAATGAATCTGAAAAATGTATCTGATGCTGTTCCACCTGCAATCGCCCGAATGTGTTGAGCGCATATTAAGTGACATCTGTGTCGACAGAAAAATCGTTTTCTTCTTTTTTTTGTTTTTTTTTTGTTTAAAAGTTGGGCTGATATCACCCTTCAGGAATTTAACCACACGGTATCTCTGTAATTGCTTCTTTTCCAAGCCATTTAGGAAAGTTTAAATGTTCTACGTCCACTAAGTGTCATGCTCAAGTAAAATTAAACAACGGAATCACCTGTGTTTTGTTAGCATATTATTGCCATGAAAATTACGAAAGAATCATTCTTCCTTTAAGAAAAGAAATTGTTAGAACAGAAATTAAGGCAGTTGCAATTTAAAATTGTTGTCGAAGTTTAATTTGAAAATTACGAAAGAATCATTCTTCCTTTAAGAAAAGAAATTTTTAGAAAAGAAATTATGGCAGTTGCAATTTAAAATTGTTGTCGAAGTTTAATTTGAAAGTTACGAAAGAATCATTCTTCCTTTAAGAAAAGAAATTGTTAGAAAAGAAATTAAGGCAGTTGCAATTTAAAACTGTTGTCGAAGTTTAATTTGAAATCTCATAAAATTTATTATTTGTAACACGTTAAAAGATAGACTTATTCTAGATTCATATTTTTAAAAGAAGTATAACGAAATTATTAAAGCTGTTTTTCCTAATTCTAAATGGATATTTTCGTAAGAAATAATGTGATAAAATTATTAGGCTGTCAAGTTATGCTAAAGTATGAGTTAAGTCTAGATTCATATATTCATGAGGTGAAATTAAATATATTAATGTTATATTTTATGCATATACAATATATTGTTCTATACACATATTATAAATATTGTTATAAATGTATGATATTAGACTAAGTATGGGCGAGTCCTAGTTTCAGAATTTCATATAAAATATAAGATTAATTACATGTTGAAAAATTAACATATCTAGATTCATATTTTAATTTGAGAAGTATGGTGACTCGTATTTCCAAATACTAAAATTTAGATAACTTCTCGGTCGTCATTTTTATATGAAATGTGATAAAATTAATTTGGCTGTCATTGGATAATTTTAAATGTATACAGGATTTTTCTAGATTCATAGTTTCGTATAACATAAGATCGAATTAGAATAAATTAATTAAGAATTAGAATAAATTAATTGGAGAACTCTACATTCATATTAATTCATAAAATCTTATTAGTTTCATCTTGAAACTTAAAAATTACTTCATAATGTTAAATAGCAGGCAAAAAATAGAGAAATATCTCTAAAGGAAATAAGAAAAAAATATTAAAATAGTATTATTACAAAAGTGTGCACAGCTTTAATTAGCATTCTAAATCATTTGACTTATTTTACTAATTATGTGTCACAACTTCTGACCTTTGAAAATTGAAATGGATTAAAAGGGACTGAAAACAAATAATCATTTTATCAATTTAGCATTTTTATGTTACCCTAATTACAAAAATGTTATTAAATGGTATGAAGTATTTTTTAATTACTTCATGGGTAAACGCATTTTATACAATATGATAATAAATATATATTTTGGTGTAATTAAAAGCACCCACGTAAAACTAAAACACAAACTGGAAATGATTTAAATTTTTAATAGAGAGTATTCTTAAATATCTTAACATTTTCTTATATAAAAATTTCCTTCCAAATAACCTGACCAAAGTTCAATTTCTTTCAACACCTTACTTGTGTTGAAAGAAATTGAACTTTACACATATGTACATTTTGTACATTTGTACAGAAATTTGTACATTTTATCCTATTAAAATAACATGAACAAAACGTCTTTGTGCTGCAGAAAAGCAAAGTTGCGCTAATACAAAAAGATGATAAAATTATATAATTTTCCACATAGAATGAAGTGAGAAAAAAAACCTTTTTTGCTGCAGGAAAAGAAAAATTGCTTAAAAATACAAGACGTTAAAGAAATAAATTTTTTCCCTGATAGATAAAACGAGCTAAAACCTCGTGGATCTGCAGGACGACTAAGTTTTGTTACGTTCAGTTTTGAATATGATGAGGTAAAACTCCTGGTGCTGCGAAGAATGCAGAGATTCGTAAAGAAAATAAGATGCACATTGAATAATATAAACTAAAACTCCTTGTGCTGCAGGAAAACAAAGTTCCATAAAGAATATTGAGCGTAAAAGAGAGAGGACTAGAGTGGAAATTTTTTACAAATTTGTGACAAAAATCGCTACAAATATGGTTAATAATTTGAACGATTACCTGTCATTCTGTTTCATATCTGGAACAACAATTTTTTTAAATTCTTGCATGCTTAATATTTAAAAAAAAATATATATTGTTTTGGTGCACACTAGCCCACTACACGGAGTTATTGTGGACAAAATTGATAACTTTTATCAGGTAGACAATCACAACTCAAAAAAGTATGTCTACAGCCTAAATGAATTTAATTTCAATCTAAGCCTTATTGGAGAACAAATATTAATTACATATATTAAATTTCATTAAACTAAGAAAGACCTTTGAACGCAAATCAATACATTTGAAAAAGACAATTTAAAACAATGCGTTAAAAAAATGGACCACCCTGAATAACTTTTGATCTAATGATCGGATTTTCACGTTCTAGGACTCAATGTTAATGGCTCGAGAGGGTGACAATCAAATATGCTAATTAATATGCGCAGGCAATATTTTAAGTTACGAAATCAGACATAAAAACGTTCTTTCTCTGAATAAACATACCTTTTTGTCGACGGATTCGGATTTCTGGATTCCAAAATATCGGAGGTAGCCGCAATCTGAGAAATATTGTCCAAATAGTTTGGTCAAGAGAGTGATTCAAAATTTGAACCTCATAATATTTATTTTATTTTTTGCGTATTTCACCTCATCTCGACAAATTTTTAAGTTCGTTTATCCAAAGATGATTCCATGCAAAAAATAAATTTTAGATAATATTTATTATTTTTTATTATTTTACTTAATAATTGAAAAATTTCTGGATTGTAAGGCATACAGTTTCTGACATCATTTTAAAGAATGTAATTTTGCGTGTCAAATAACAAAATTTGAGCGAAATCGGTTGAGTAGTTCCTGAGAAATCGAATTTTAAATCTACGACATTAGATCATAAGTTTTCAAAGTAATTAATTTTGTTTTCTTTTTTTTGTGAGCACTATACATTTTTTGATTGAGTAATATGAGGGAAAATGTTCTGGTTCAACCGGAATGAAAAGTTCCTCAAATAAAATGTGCTATACATTACTCGACTGAGTAACATACGAAAAAAAATTTTGGTGCAGGAGAAAGTTATAATAGGAAAGACAATAAAACGTACATTTATCGTTTGGCCAAAATGTGCAAAAGTTTTCTGAGGCAGTTGAAAAACTAAGTTGCTCAAAGAAAATAAAGGAGTTTATTTCTCAATTTTAAAATTTGAGCATAAAATTATTTTTCCGCTGGTGTAGAAAAACTAAGCTATTGAAAAGAAACAAGATGCAAATTTCTCGTATCCTGGCTCTTTTGAAATGCAAATTTACTCAAAGAAAATAAGGTGCACATTTTTCGATTGAGTGATAAGAGCAAGAATTTTCCGACCGAAGTTTCTTAAAGAAAATAAGGTGTATATTTCTCGATTGAGTTATATGAGCAAAAATGTTCTAGAATTGCACGAAAGCAAAGTTTTTTAAAGAAAAAAAGGTGCACATATCTCGATTAAGTAATGTGAACAAAAATATTCTGATTGTACAGAAAAGAAAAGTTTTTCAAGTGAAATAAGGTACAAAATACTCTAGTGAGTAACATATGTAAACATGTTCAAGTGCAAAAGTAAAAGATACATTTGGAAAGAAAATAAATATTACACTTCTCGATTGAGTAATGTATGCGAAAATATTCTGATACTACGGAAAATCAAAGTTGCTGAACGAAAATAAGATTTAAATTTACAGAATTGAGCAAAAACGTTTTGATTCTTCAGAATGCAAATTTACTCAAAGAAAATAAGGTGCACATTTCTCGATTGACTTATATGAGCAAAAATTTTTTCTAGAGTTACACGAAAGCAAAGTTTTTTTAACGAAAATAAGCTGCACATATCTCGATTAAGTAATGTGAACAAAAATATTCTGATTGTACAGAAAAGAAAAGGTTTTCAAATGAAATAAGGTACACAATACTCTAGTGAGTAACATATGTAAACATGTTCAAGTGCAAAAGTAAAAGATACATTTGGAAAGAAAATAAATATTACACTTCTCGATTGGTCCCGCAGTGGACTGATCGTTAAGACACGGTTCTCATCAGATCACCGAAGTCAAGCATCACTGGCTGCGGTCAGTGTGCGGGTGGGTGACCCACTTGGATCAGTCTGCGTAGGGACCGAGGGTGTGCGGTATTGGTCCTCGTTAAACTGTGCTACCGTAAAGTGCTCGACTTCGCGCGCAGGTCGTTGGGCTACCGAAGCGGGGGTGCCATCCCCTCTGCAGAGGATCAAAATTGTGATGGCATGTCTTCGGATCATCCTCAGGGATGTTTCCCAGACCGTCGCCAATAGCCCATAGTGCAGCTCTAGTGCGACGTAAATCAACAACAACAACAACAACAACACTTCTCGATTGAGTAATGTATGCGAAAATATTCTGATACTACGGAAAATCAAAGTTGGTGAACGAAAATAAGATTTAAATTTACAGAATTGAGCAAAAACGTTTTGATTCTTCAGAATGCAAATTTACTCAAAGAAAATAAGGTGCACATTTCTCGATTGACTTATATGAGCAAAAATGTTCTAGAGTTGCACGAAAGCAAAGTTTTTTTTAACGAAAATAAGCTGCACATATCTCGATTAAGTAATGTGAACAAAAATATTCTGATTGTACAGAAAAGAAAAGTTTTTCAAATGAAATAAGGTACACAATACTCTAGTGAGTAACATATGTAAACATGTTCAAGTGCAAAAGTAAAAGATACATTTGGAAAGAAAATAAATATTACACTTCTCGATTGAGTAATGTATGCGAAAATATTCT